CATGAATTTAATTTGACGAATAAACTCATTCAAACAGACATTACAGACATTTGATTATGTTATAAACCCCTTTAAGTGACATGGATCGAAAAAAATGTATCTATGTCATAAGTGAAAACCATTTTTTACTTGTGAAAATGTGGAGTAAATTTTTGTCATGAATATTTTTTGTATAGAAATGGTTTGATTTTGACTCTACCAAAAATGAAAAATAATTTCAAATGTTTGAGCATATAATTTTCTATGTACGGATAATATTTATTAAATATTTTTTTTTAATATTTGTTTTCATTTGTAATAAAACAAAAAAAAAATTAGAACCCCCATTATTGAACAACTCATTCACTTCTACACAGGCCACTTTAAATTTTTTACACGTCTCATATTACGCACACATGTTATCCACAAAAAATATCCGTTTGACTGCATTTTTTTTTTATAAAAAAAACCATATTTATGAATTTAATTAGACAAATAACGGATACAAACAAACATTTGGTAAAGTTCTCAACCCCTTTAATCGACATGCATTGAAAAATAAATTAAAGTATTTATGTCATAAGTATAACCATTTTTGACTTGCAAGAATGTAAAGTAAATTTTTGTTCTGAGAACTAATAAGTGCTTGTATGCAAAGAGTTTTATTTTTACACTTCCGAAATGTTAAAAAATTCAAATATTTGTGAATAAAATTTTTGGTCTACGGCTTATATTTATATAAAGTATGGGATAAATCTTAGTTTTAGTATTTGTTTTCCAAATTAAAATAAAACTGAAGCTTGAAAATCCCACTTTAATTTTGTACACCTGGCACCCCACATGCAACACTTTTGCGACGTGGACCTAATACACTTAAACTCATCAAAACACCACCCACCGCCCCACAATCTAGGATCTCATTTCTTATTTTGAATGAACACCCAACCCACAATCCGAACTATAAACGAACCCAATTAAACCCAACTCACCACCCACCTCCTTCTTCAACCTTCAATCTCTACCGCACAAAACACAGACTCCACATAACACAGAACCCAAACGCAAAACAATAATACAAAAGATGGGCTGTGTTTATGGTTCAAAAGGAAAAAAATTAAATCCATACCAACTTCAACGAAGCACTTTCACGCAACATCCATAGAGAGTCGCGGAAAGATATCAAGATCCGACAATGGACAGCTAGCGAAGCTTAAGTATCATCATCTCCAAGCAGAACATTTGAGCTACTGAAATATTCAGTTTGTTTTATTTAATTTATTGAGCTTCTATACGTTGCTAACCATGATGTTTTCGTTCTGACAATAAACTGGGAGGAACCGGGGATTGGATACAACAAAGCGTTTATCCGATTGGCCTAGCAAAGGGCTGAGCAGGACGCACATGTCAGCCTCAATGCAAATGGTATATTCTTCTTCCGCTTAAATATTTAAAAAAATACCTCTAACTTAATCCATGAAATGTTTTTTTCATACACTAAAGATTAGAAAGAAAAGACATATTTAGTATATTAATGTACCATGCACACTTACCACTCACAGTACACTAAACTAAAGCATTCATCTTTTCAAATATTAAACATTTCTGTAAAAACCTTTTTTTTTATGAATTACCTTACAGAAACCCTTAAATGTTTAAGCATTGTTTCATTACAAATTAAATACTCTTGGATTCTATACATTTTTTTGAAGGGATCTATACATCTATTTATACATCTATTTTTTTCATTATAGCTATACATCTATTTATACATCTATTTATTCCATTATAGCTATAGAATATTTTACTAATATACGGAGTACTTCGTATGTATTAACCCCGTATGTATTAACCAAAAGAAATGTTGAAAAAGAAGTTACACGCCTCTTCAATTTTCTTAAGATGAAGAATTGTCATCAACTCCAACTTCCCATTGCAGATGTGATCTTCAAACGCTGAAACTGCCCAAAAAGAATAAGAGAACATCATTTATCCAGTAGAACACCCATTTTTTTCAATTTCTAAATGACGAATACACATCTTCATTATTTGCATGTAACCCCTTCTATGCATCTGCTTAGTGCTTACAGTAATGTCTGTTTTGATAGGCTCTCGTGGTCCTGGCCTTTATTGCCCGAGTGATTTGATCAATATCAAGAATTGAAAGAAATATATTGTGTCGCTTGCTATTACAGATAGATTGTGCGCAAATGGCTGTGAGAAATTTCATGCGAGAGTGCTGATTTATAGTTGAGCTATACCATGCTACTACTTGCTGAGATTGAGATTCACTCAATCCCATTTACTGTGCTCACCACCCAATCCAACCAATAAGAAAAAAGCAATCCAAAAAGTGACTCTATAATAATTCAAGCTTTTTGTGTGAACAGTACGCACCTCCATTTTGGACCAATAGGAGTACACCCAAAACATGTCTTTGCTGTGCGCCTCCTTTTGGACCAATAAGATTTGTGTACTCACAATACTCCATATCTCGATTGATGTAATATCTTTATATTACAATTAATTTGTATTTTTTTTGTCCGATTAACACATAAAGATTTGATGTTGATGTTTTCTAGCGGGAACACTGTTCACATAAAAACTGTCTCTTTAGATATTAATAGATTTCTTTTTTTATTCACTCAAAAGTTATAATCTAGTCTCAGGCTGACCCTAAGAATTTAAATTCACTCAAAAGCATTAATCTAGTCTCAAGTGTTTCCCTAAAGATTTAAATGCTCTCAATCTTATCCTTTATTATGATTATTTCCTCTTAGTTTTTGCAGTCTATTGTCAAAATGGACTGCTCTGTGAATAATATGTGCTCCAGTGTGCACATGGGAAAAGGGAATGAGATAACTGCCAGAAAATGAATGACGTGGATGAGATTTGTGCTAATTCTCACTTGCAATTTTATAGGAACTCTTTAAGTGAAGTCTTACAATTTGGATTTCCCCCCTTGAATAGACATAAATAGCATCTGAACCAAGATGACTTCATAGTAAAACAAGGGGTGGACCCGTTCTGGGTCCGGTCCCGGTCTAGGATATGCAGGCTCGGGACCAACTCGGCTAACACGAAAGGATCAGCCATGGGCGGAAAGTTTTGTTTATGTTCGGCGAGTAGGAGGCATAGACAGAAAGGAAAACATGGGTAATGTAGAAATATAGGCGTTTCATACGAATCGGGCAATCGTAAACGTTATGGATGATGGTGTTTCATATTTTGATTGTTAGGATGAAAAGCCAACACTATCCCATAAGAAAATGTAAAACAAAGACACTTCAATTGAGGTGTTTTGTGAAAGAAGCGCCTCAAAATAAAAATAAAAACATAATTCCTTGCGTGCGGCGCTTATCTATTATAAGCGCCTCTATTAGATTGAATAAATTTAACACTACCCAACCATCCGCGGGCATCGCTGCCACAGAGCCTTGGGCAAAGAACGTTACAGTAGAAAACAGAACCCGCAGCGATGGCGGACCAGCGGCAAGTAAAGCGCCACCGCGCGGCTGCCGGTACTCATCCGTTGGGGCTTCCCCTGGCCTCCACCAGTCCTAGCTCCTCCACTTCAGGTAATATTTTACTATATAATTTTTCAGTTGGGAAAACTGTCAAATAGGTCCTCGAACTTTCATAAAAAAATCAATTAAGTCCTTTTATAGGAGACTCTGTCCGGTCGTCGCGGTTTGGGGCGGTTCCCGGTGGAATTTTTTGATGAAATTTTTTGTGCATCTTATTTATCAAGTCTAGTTTACTCATACCAAATTTTAGCTAAAATGTTAATCGGGAGCGCATTCAAATTAATTCGAGAACGCAAAAATGCACAATTATCTTCAAGAATTAATTTGAATGTGTTCTCGATTGAATTTTTAGTTGAAATTTGGTATGAGTAAACTAGACTTGGTGAATAAGATGCTCAAAAAATTTCATCAAAAAAACCGGGAACCGCCCCAAATCGTGACGGCCGGACAGAACCTCCTATAGAAGGACTTAATTGACCTTTTTATGAAAGTTCGAGAACCTATTTGACAATTTTCCCTTTTTCAGTTTATAATACATTTTCACTGTATTAATTGAATACTTTATGAGTTTATGATAATCAATTAATTAACAGGGATGATTTTTAACATATTGAATCGAAAGTTTTTGATAATGGCCATTACTCTTTAAATATCTCTAAAAATGAATAATCACAACTGCTAGTGATATACTGATATGTTTGAAATAATCCTAAGTCTTAATTTTTTCAATAGTCCCAACTATTGAAAAAAAAATCTCAAAATATTCTATTGACTTATAATAACCCATAAATTGCTTATAATATTTTCGAGCCAATGAAGCATTCTGAGAAGTTGTTTCAATAGTTGATATTATTTTGAAGTAATTGATACTTAGCGGATCATGCATGATCAATAGTTGGGATTATTCTTGTCCATTTTCCTTAATCTTTTTTTCTCTTCAGAATTTCCTTAATCTTATACTACGGGGTATTACATTTTCAGTTCATGTACATTTTAATATTTTACTCCGTATTAGTTTATAATTTTCAATTTATTACGGAGCAGTATTCTTAGTTAATATTTTTCAATTCAGGTATGAATCTTTTTGTAGTTACACATGTTGGAAATTATTCTATTTAAATGCTCTTGGACCATTTATATAATTTAATATATATTGGGGACATTTTTGTCTAACCATTAAGTTTGTCATATAACATATTTGGTTCTTGTATTTATGTATAGTTAACATATGATGGATATGTTTTAACATTAAATAATACATAAGGAACCAAATAGGTTTCTCTTTTATACAAAATATAAAAGGCATCCGCCCATTTAATTCTTAAGACAAAAATGAACAAGCATCTCCAATGCAAGGGTGCATTGGAGTTCCATGTCAGCAAATGCACATTTTGTTGTAAAATGTACTCTCCAATGTGAAAGCCAATGGACCTTCAAAATCTGAGTTGGCAAGGGAGAAGGTCCAGCACCAGGTCCACAAATAGACCTTCGGTGCCACCTTCTGACATTCCAGCTAAGCAAGCAACGTAAGTATGTAGCTTTCCCTTCTTCTTTTATTAATTTTTCATTTATTTTTTTTTGTTTTTCCCTTTCTGCATTGGAGTACACTCCAAATAGACTTTCTCTATTTGCTCTAGACCCACTTCATTTCATTGACACATCACCTCCAATGCACCCTAGGGTTGGAGATGCTCTAAGGGTCTCAAGAACACCTATGATAAGAGACCCAAGGGAGAATCATTCAATCAATCAGAAATCAGATTGTGTATCCTTAGAAAATCTACACATCAATGACTTCATCATCTTCTCCAACACCACCAAAGTTCGTTTCTCTACAACCGGTTAGTGTTCTTAATTATATTATATATGTTCGATTCTCTGAATTTTATCATTTTTGTGAGATTAGATCCTTATTTGGGATTGAATTTCTTAACAATACATTGTAAACCTACATATTAAAAAGAAATATGATTGAAACTAATTTGGCTTTACTTGATGTTATATAGAAGTACGTAGTAGTTGTTTTTGTTTTTTCCTTGAGTTTAGCTGATTTCCTCAAGATGCATATGTAACCAAGGTTTTTAACAAATATTTGTATGAATATGTTTGTATATTATGCTCTCATGACTTTTGCTGCTATGCCTCATCTGGTTATATATGTAATATGTTTATATGTTGTTATTCCGTAACTTGCCACATCTCTTTGGTAAGTTTTATATGAACTTATTACATTTATTAATATTAATTTAACAAGTATTATTCGGCGAAGAAATCTTGTTTTGGTTTCTTTATTTTCTTCTGTTTCGAGTTTAGTACTCTGCATTGTTCTGTTTTGTTTTTCTGTTATGCGTTTATTCCTTGTAAGACTCTCGCATTAAGTTTGGGGGAGGGAGAGGCTGCGGTAACCGTCATTAGCTCTATGTTGCCCAAATTTGGTCTAGCGAGTTATACTGCTTTTACACAGGTGGTTAGCTCTCAGACTCGGCCACGGGCGGATGGTTATTTGTGGTTCTTTTCTAGTTTTATCCTCCTGCTGAATGCTACTCTTATGAATTAAGGATTCTTCGAGCAAAAAAAAAAGTATTATTCGGCAAATATGGGATAATGTATTTATGCACATTTTTTATAATTAGATAAATCCAAAGTTTCGATCAAGATGGATCGTAGTTGGATGTATGGTCGTCGGAAGTCGGAACACCCTTCAGTTTTTCGAAGGGGCTAATGGATTCATAAAAGATGCCCTTGCACACCAGAAAACACTAAGAAAACCCTTCAGTTTGTAAGAAATGTCGTAACTTAAGAAAAGAAAGTGATGTCAATGTTATTCTTCAACATTTATTTGAGAAGGGTGAAGCTCGTTTAGATGATTGTGTTGCGCAACCTCCTCCTAGTAATCTAAAGCGGAAAGCGGCCGACATGACACCTAGAGATGGTAATTTCGACCGACCCGTTGGATACCCGCACCGAACCGATTTGGTCAAACTGGGGAAAACCGGTTTGACTGGGGAATGGATACGGGGCGGGGAATACCCGAATTTTTTAAATGGTTAATGGTGCGATTATGGTTCTATACTAATTCACCCCGTTATCCGCCCCGAAACCGCCCCGTTCACTAGTGGTGCGGGTACCCGCACTGTTACCCGATCGATAACATTATTAATAAATTATAACTTTTTATATATAAGAATAATAACTATATATGCTAAATTGTGTATAATAAATAGTATATATCATATAAATAATGCTAAAAAGTATACTACTTTTTTAGGCCTAAAACTAAATATAGGCCTAAACCTATTTTTGAAATTTGGATCCTGGGATGATTACTACTTTTTTATTATGTTACAAGAGATATTGGGTGCATGTCATACTAATGAATTTAGGTCAGTCTGCTTGATTGCTTAAATGTTTATTTTTGTATGTTTTAGGGTGCTTTGAATATATAAATAACAAGTAGGATTAAAAATTGATTATTTGTTTTCCCAAAAAAAGTTGGTTATTTGGTATCATTTGGGGAAACGGTTACCCGTGGATAAACCGATTCCCCGTTGGGGCGGGTACGGTTCAAATAAAAATTACCCGAATGGGTAATGGGGCGGTTTTGGGGCAAACATTTATCAAACGGGGCGGTTGCGGTTTTATGTGTACCCGTCCCCGATCCGCCCCGTTGCCATCACCAATGACACCGTGACATGTCCTTTGGAAAGGTATGAATAAGTTGTGAGTTTTGCAAAATTATTGATTTTATATTGTTGTTTTATGTTTAATTAAAATTTTAATATGCAAGTAAACTTACCGGGGGGTAAATTTTACTGTTTTGACACTGTTTCAACATTGTTTGACACTGTTTTGCACTGTTTGACACTTTTTTGATGTAGATAACTTTCCATTTAAGGAAATGGGAACTTAAATTAGGGACATCCAATTAAGGAAAGTGGGAACTTCTTTCGGGGACGGAGAGAGTATATTTTTCATTATTTAGTAGTTTCAGTCATTTCAATCCGAATTTCACCAATTTCTAGAGATGCAACTGCTTTTAGTATGTTTAACGATGGACAATAATTTTCTTGCATGATCTGGTTCGGTCTAACCCGGTGGATTGCTATTATATGACCATTTTATTACTATTATCACATCTAGTCTGTTCTTGTCTTTGACCGAAACCAATCCGATTAAAAACACTACCACAGAACATTCTTAATGTTATCAATGGGCTAAAGTAAGAATGCACATCAGAATTTACAAGAGTAACCACACAAGGGAACAAATTAAAGAATCATACAAATACCAAAACCATAAAAATAGTGGAACCAAAGGATCGGAGCAAATAATTAAAGAAATGTAAGTTCGTGTTCTAATACGAAGGAATATATGTAGAGTATAACATGAAAGAAACACAGTCTTTGCAAAAATCATCAAACCTCTATATATAATAGTTGGACATGGTGTTCAATCTTCTCATATACTACGTGTGAATGTGTGATTCTACAATTTCTGTTGACAATGGTAAACGGAGTCATTGTGGCCTAACAAGAATGAATAACTCAAACATGTCTTTCTAGGAATTTTACTATTCTATCTAATGAAGATATGGAGGAAGTTCATTGTAGATTTCTACTTTTCGAATGGTTAAAAGGACACAGTTTGTTAGGCATTATAAATCTGTATGACACTATGATGTGTTTATGTTTTTCTCTTTGAGGTTTTGATAAGTTACATTCAATTTATATGCCCTGATTGAAAAGTTCACATCACACAAGTTCTAATGTTTTCCCATGAAGCCATTCTGGTTCAGAGGCTATCTTGTGTCCCTGTATCAAGGAAAACACTTCCAATTTGTAAGACTTCACTTAAACAATTCCTATAAAATAGGATTAGTACAAATCTCATCCTTTTCGTTTTCTGGCGGTTGTCTCATTTCCTTTTCCGATGTGCACACTGAAGCGCTTATTACTCAGAGAGCAGTAAATAATAAATTCATAGTATAAAGGATAAGATTGAGAGCATTTAAATCTTTAGGGCAAACCTAAGACTGGATTAAAACTTTTGAGTGAACTGAAATCCTTAAGGCCAACCTGAGACTAGACTGTAACATTGAGTGAATGAAAACAATGAATGAAGTTTACTAAAGAACTTAAATCCCTGTTTCCCTTTTTTATTGTAACAAAACAACTTCCCATTAACTCCTTGGAGGGGGAGGGGGTCAGGGGATCCCTAAATGCAACAGGTTTCTGGACTCTATCAAAAGAATAGAAACCACTGGTTTGGAAATTAAGAAACAATTGCCTCTTTACCTTCAGAAATTGACAACTTTTCCATCGCAAAGAAAAAACAGTAAGCAGCCAACCAATTAGAGCTGGAGTATAGGTTAATCCATAAGAAATCAATGGCAGAAAGACATAGTATTAGTTGATTTACTGCAACATATATGGAATTTAAACAAAATAAATTATGAGCAACGAAAGTAAGTGAGTAAACAGTTTTAGAGAAATTCAAAGCAGCAGCAATCATTATTACAAATGCTCAAAGATTTAATTTATTTTAGATTGTTCGAATGCTACTAATAATAGACTTGTGGCAACGTAAATCAGTCCATAAGGATGGAAGATGCAAAACTAATTATTCAAACCACTGAAGAGAACGAAAGGCTCGAGATTTATGGTGTCCAAAACTCAGTTCAATCGCTCAACCAAACAATCCCGGTTCTGCAAATATAGAAACCCTTCACTTTCAGGACATCAATTGAGTTCACAAAGTAGGGGAAAACTCAGATAACCCGGATCTAATTCGTCCATCAGAAAAATGAAGAACGCTTCTGAACTCAGGTTGAGAAAAACAGGATACTAAATTCAGGAAAAACAGCCAAAAAATAAATAAATTCAGGAAAAATTAGCAAAAAAAATTTGGACCATTTCTCGATTTGTGCGTGTCATCCTTGCGCAGGGGCCATGCTAATCTTCTCTGTATCGTTCCAATTTTATCGGATGTCCCCGAAGGGACACTATGACCTCCATCTCCGACGTATTTGAAGCATAAGCTCTCTGTTCATCTCTCCGGTGTGGGAATAAAAACCACTGTTAGGAAGACGCTGCCCACTGGGCACTTAATTTTTTAGGGCCGTGGACCGTGTTTAATAAAGTGGCCCATTATTATTATAAGCCTAGTCCGTATAATTTCTTCTTAATTGAAAGAAAGGGGATCGTTTTGTCCTTTTTATAACTAGGTCTGCTTATACACTACTATTTGAAAAAACAATACTCCCTCCCTCCGTCCCAAAATTATTGTCGGATTTGGTTTTTCACACAGATTAAGAAAATGACACTCTAGCGACACTGTTTGTCAGTGTAGCAACACTCTTTGACACTGTTTTGCACTGTTCGACACTGTTTTGTTTACCAAATAAGGAAGTTAAATAAACGAGACAATAATTTTGGGACGGACCAAAAAGAAAAGCGGGACAATAATTTTGGGACGGAAGGAGTATTACATTTTGAAAAAAAAGTCATTAAATACTATACCAAAACATTACATTTTTTCCCGATGCAACTATACGCTTTGCCTCCGATGACTAAATTATTTTCATTACTTCCCCAAGCGTATAGTTGCATCGGGAAAAAATGTAATGTTTTGGTATAGTATTTAATGACTTTTTTTTCAAAATGTAATACTCCTTCCGTCCCAAAATTATTGTCCCGCTTTTCTTTTTGGTCCGTCCCAAAATTATTGTCTCGTTTATTTAACTTCCTTATTTGGTAAACAAAACAGTGTCGAACAGTGCAAAACAGTGTCAAAGAGTGTTGCTACACTGTCAAACAGTGTCGCTAGAGTGTCATTTTCTTAATCTGTGTGAAAAACCAAATCCGACAATAATTTTGGGACGGAGGGAGGGAGTATTGTTTTTTCAAATAGTAGTGTATAAGCAGACCTAGTTATAAAAAGGACAAAACGATCCCCTTTCTTTCAATTAAGAAGAAATTATACGGACTAGGCTTATAATAATAATGGGCCACTTTATTAAACACGGTCCACGGCCCTAAAAAATTAAGTGCCCAGTGGGCAGCGTCTTCCTAACAGTGGTTTTTATTCCCACACCGGAGAGATGAACAGAGAGCTTATGCTTCAAATACGTCGGAGATGGAGGTCATAGTGTCCCTTCGGGGACATCCGATAAAATTGGAACGATACAGAGAAGATTAGCATGGCCCCTGCGCAAGGATGACACGCACAAATCGAGAAATGGTCCAAATTTTTTTTGCTAATTTTTCCTGAATTTATTTATTTTTTGGCTGTTTTTCCTGAATTTAGTATCCTGTTTTTCTCAACCTGAGTTCAGAAGCGTTCTTCATTTTTCTGATGGACGAATTAGATCCGGGTTATCTGAGTTTTCCCCTACTTTGTGAACTCAATTGATGTCCTGAAAGTGAAGGGTTTCTATATTTGCAGAACCGGGATTGTTTGGTTGAGCGATTGAACTGAGTTTTGGACACCATAAATCTCGAGCCTTTCGTTCTCTTCAGTGGTTTGAATAATTAGTTTTGCATCTTCCATCCTTATGGACTGATTTACGTTGCCACAAGTCTATTATTAGTAGCATTCGAACAATCTAAAATAAATTAAATCTTTGAGCATTTGTAATAATGATTGCTGCTGCTTTGAATTTCTCTAAAACTGTTTACTCACTTACTTTCGTTGCTCATAATTTATTTTGTTTAAATTCCATATATGTTGCAGTAAATCAACTAATACTATGTCTTTCTGCCATTGATTTCTTATGGATTAACCTATACTCCAGCTCTAATTGGTTGGCTGCTTACTGTTTTTTCTTTGCGATGGAAAAGTTGTCAATTTCTGAAGGTAAAGAGGCAATTGTTTCTTAATTTCCAAACCAGTGGTTTCTATTCTTTTGATAGAGTCCAGAAACCTGTTGCATTTAGGGATCCCCTGACCCCCTCCCCATCCAAGGAGTTAATGGGAAGTTGTTTTGTTACAATAAAAAAGGGAAACAGGGATTTAAGTTCTTTAGTAAACTTCATTCATTGTTTTCATTCACTCAATGTTACAGTCTAGTCTCAGGTTGGCCTTAAGGATTTCAGTTCACTCAAAAGTTTTAATCCAGTCTTAGGTTTGCCCTAAAGATTTAAATGCTCTCAATCTTATCCTTTATACTATGAATTTATTATTTACTGCTCTCTGAGTAATAAGCGCTTCAGTGTGCACATCGGAAAAGGAAATGAGACAACCGCCAGAAAACGAAAAGGATGAGATTTGTACTAATCCTATTTTATAGGAATTGTTTAAGTGAAGTCTTACAAATTGGAAGTGTTTTCCTTGATACAGGGACACAAGATAGCCTCTGAACCAGAATGGCTTCATGGGAAAACATTAGAACTTGTGTGATGTGAACTTTTCAATCAGGGCATATAAATTGAATGTAACTTATCAAAACCACAAAGAGAAAAACATAAACACATCATAGTGTCATACAGATTTATAATGCCTAATAAACTGTGTCCTTTTAACCATTCGAAAAGTGGAAATCTACAATGAACTTCCTCCATATCTTCATTAGATAGAATAGTAAAATTCCTGGACAGACATGTTTGAGTTATTCATTCTTGTTAGGGCACAATGACTCCTTTTACCATTGTCAACAGAAATTGTAGAATCACACGTAGTATATGAGAAGATTGAACACCAAGTCTAACTATTATAAATAGAGGTTTGATGATTTTTGCAAAGATTATGTTTCTTTCATGTTATACAGTTATACTCTACACAATCTTTCACATTAGAACACGAACTGACATCTCTTTAATTATTTGATCCAACAAATCCAATACTTTTATGGTTTTGGTGTTTGTATGACTCTTTGTTCTCTTGTAAGGTTACTCTTGTCAATTTTGAAGTGCATTGTTAACATTGAGAATGTTTTTGA